ATATATATTTATTTATTTATCTCTCTATTTATGCATATTTATTTACTTTTGTTCATTTATTTATATATTCTTTATGTTAATATATTCAATATACATATTCATTTGATGTTCATGTTCCTACAGGCTCACGCTTTTCTGGAGATTGCAAGGAATACGTGTGTTGATGCTATGTCTCTTCCAGTTCTTACATCATTAGAAGATCTTCCAGCAGACCCACACTTGGAAAATGATGGACAGTGGTACTACTGTAGCGATAGTCAAGTAATGGCAGTGTCAGAGAGTCGTGTTCTTTCTGCTGAAGCATATATACTTTTCTATGAGCGGGTGCTGTGATCTAGTCTTTGTATTGAGCAGCTCTAGCATTCTTATGTGCCCTATTCCGACCTCGAAAAGGTTCGGGTGTATTTGATGAGTTTTTGAAAATGTGATGTAAAATTTCTATTAAATAATATGACCAGACTTTATTACAAGAGTTTTATATTAAGCAGAATGAAGAAGCTTGTCTTTCATTGTTGACGCTACTAGCCATTGTTGAATAAATAGAAATTACACTGTTTCTGACTGATTTTTTTGAGCTGATGATGGTCACTACTACATTTGGACTCAGGACCGGTGTAAATTTGCATCCTCTTCAGCCTGGTTACTGATAGGAAATGAGGCGGAAGACATAGAAAATCTTCTAAAAGGAGGGGATTTTGAGGTATCTGGCATTTAAAGAACTTAACATTTTGTTAGTTTAGATTGAAAGCAAAACTTTAGCAACGTGAGAGTCAATTTTTGGTGAATTGGAAAACTAACTTTGGTCAGAGACAACGAAGGCGGTAGTTCCAGTCTATCACTTTTCTCATTATCTGCTAAACATAAGTACAGAAAGAGGATATCTGACTGGAGGCAAGACACTTTACTTTGGAAACTCAGAATTCACTCTTAAAAGTAAAACGATAACTTTCAACCTATACAAGCCATTCTTCCTACTATAAATTGGAGTAAAAAGATCTCGATCATAAAGCATAGACTTGAGCTCCACCTAGTAGCTTCATGGAGTGAATGTTAGTCGACAAGAACAAGTATAGTTTCTCAAAAATTATTCGGAAAACTTTAGTGCTGTTAAAGTATTTTAATTATCAAAAACTAAGGAATAAACTTTTAACCTTAGATCAACAGAACTAATAATGATTCAGATTTAAGAAAAAGATTAAAAGGGCATAGCCCTGTTTAAGCCGCTCTCCCTAGCCAATT